ATATATAAACATACACAGATAAAGATAATATAAATTATAATGGGACAAAAAACGTATTTTTTAAAACATTATTCCACCACACACACACACACACACACACACACACACACACACACACACACACACACACACACACACACACACACACACACACACACACACACACACACACACACACAGCAGAGACCTCCTACATCCTCAAACACCAAAAGCTTTTCACACGCCCCCATTATTCACCAGTGCATGGGAGAAACCCCCAAATCACCTCACACTTCTTCTCTTTCTTCGACCTAGCGGGGACCCAGAGTTGTTAGACTGATAAACGGGCAAAACTATTTATATCAAATGTGGAGTGTAAGCTTTGGTTGACAGCCTGCATGTATGAGAAACACCACGTGGGACACAGAGAGACCGGAAAACAAAACAAAAAAATATCAATCAGAAGAAGCAAAGGAAGAAAAACAAGGAGATTTAAAGAGTACACACCTAAAAAAAACAACATCCTGCAAAGATGATGGTGGTGATTCTGATCATGTTCATGATTGTGATGATGAAGACAGCGTCACCTTACCCGGGAATTGAACAAGATCTTTTTGGGGTCTTAGAGATTCCATCAAATGTCTCGAGCAGCATCAATTGCCTGTGAGTACAAACATATACATGTACACGTTTAATGAACACTCAAATGTGCTGTCTAAACCACTTTAGATATTCCAATTTGCTTGCTACACAATAATTTAACATCTAAGAGGAATACTTTGGATTTTCCTTCAATAACGTCAATGCCTCTTAGCGCTTTATACATTTCTCTGCTTGTTGGCAAATGTACAGAAAAACAAAGGATATACATATATGGAGCCTCGTGTAAAATAGTTCTTCTTCAACTTATCCCTATTGTAAATGGTTTTCGTGAACATGTATATGTGTGCGCTTTTCTTTTTTGCATTTATTTTTGGAGTTATGAGACTTAGATTTAAAAAAGAAGGACCAGAAACTAATCAGCTACAAACCAATATATCCTGAATTTGAATCCACTTTACTTGTCAAGCTCTGGATAACATGTGACCATACATTTCCTATAATGCCAACCAACTCAAAAGCTCAATTAAAATGTCTTGTACATTTTTGTTTTTTCCCTATAAATCTGTGGTCTCTAGCCATTATAAGGTCATTTGAGATTAATTGTATCAAACTTTAGAAAGCTCAGACTTGATCAAAGATTTTTTTCTGAGTCCTCTTTAGGATTTTCATGTATTAATGTAGTTGAGTAAAGTGTCCCTTCACTCAACCCCAACAGCCGACATATGTCAATATTACAAGGAACCCAACCCAAAATAGTATTTCTCACCATGTTACACCAATCCAGATTCAGGGAGCATGCCTTTGTCCAATATCCCATCCCGTGAGCATGCATAATCATTTAGACTTTCCTCTCTAATCCTCCATCAGTCCTCATGGCTGAATTCTGCCCTGAATATGCAAATGCTGTCTTTATTAAATATTTGCTTAATGAAATGTATGCAGAGTGTGTCTGCTCGCCTCCAGCAACTCAAAGCTTTCTAATGTGTCCACAGGTTAAAGATGGCCAGTGGAGTTCTTATGTAAACAAACTAAAGTTACACTTACTGTCAATGTTTCTCACAAAAACACACTGTGTGTATCCCTGAAGCATAATCAATATGTTGAATGCACGTTGTTCTTCCTTGTAGAAATGGTGCACAGATTACGTTCATGTTTACTGGCTTGCAATCACCTTCTTCACAATTCTTTGCATATTACCCCTACCAAGGGCTGTCAGCAGAACAGCGTTATTCTAGTGTTTTGTCTGCACCCCAGCCCACAATCAGTAGTTATGGGCTCAGTGCTAAAAGTTGACATAATAGCTAAGCATAATAGCAGTATAGCTGCTAAGACCATATCTACAGTTTATAATAAACCTGCAAGTGATCAGGAAAATATTTGAAAACATTGTTGAACATCTTAATATTACTTGCGATAAATAAACCAATATAAAGGCCTGCCTGCTGCTTTCAGGACACCGATTAAACATAGGAAAATCCCTGTTTCTTTTTTTTATATAAATAAACTAAAGTGAAATATTTCCAATATTCTTTTATTGCACATATTGAACTGAACACAAAATGCATCCTAACGAACAAAGATTTCCATTTTAAAGGTCACTTATTATGCAAAATCCACTTTTTCATGAGTGGATTTACTTTTATACATAAACATGTATATCATCACCTTATTATCTGAATCTCCTCCTGGAGTTGAGGACATTGTGTTCTTTTTAACCAAATATCTCTCAGAGGGGTGTGGGGAGTGGCTTCTTATTTTCATCTAAGGTAACAGACAGAGAATCAGCACTTTTGAAACAGGGCTGAAACAGACTGAGACTTTCAAGGCACAC